TAAGACCACTGACGGAGGAAATCCAAACCTCCATCTGCAGCCATGGGCTTCGGGACGCTGAGCCTGTGGGAGCCTCATTTACCCCGCCCTCCTCTATACCTGGGTGAAGGTGAGTCAGAATCCTGCTTTTTAGAAGCTACAGATGGTGGGGTCCTGGAAACTGCATTTTTTAGAAACTAAAATTCTAATACTGGCTCCCATATATTTGGGACTTTACAAATTATTGTGAAGTCTCTTACAGTCTACATAGTAGTCTATAAATATATATAATATATTATATATCACTTATAATATATGATAATACATGATAAAATATATAATTATACATATTATATATTACATTAATATGTAATATATTATATTGTATATTACATTATATATTATAAATTTATATAAACATATATAAATATAAATAGTTTATAAACTATGTGATAGAATATCCTAGCTGACACCAAACAGAATTGGTCCTTTCTGGTCCATGTATTTATTTCATTTATTAGCATGAACCAACATGTATATTGGTCAAAGGTGGGGAAAGGTTTTTCTCCCCCAGAGCTTTAGAGAAGATGGAGGGATAGACAAAGACAGTGGGGACAGAGTGTCTGACTGTCAGGTAGGGTTACTAGTTCATGTAGACTGACATTTGATGGAAACTTCTATGATAAGGAAATGAAGAGATTAAAAAGGCAGGCCCGTGCCCCACTGGGCACATAATTTAGCATAAGCAAAGTACTGGCAGCTCATTCCCAGTGAATCAAAATGTGAAACCTTTGAGCATGAGGTAACTTAGGGCTCTTAGGCACCAGCAGAGCCATCACTGAACTTGTAGAAGGTCTAAGTTCTTTTCCTTCTTCCATCCTCCTGCTCCTTGCAACCACAGCTACATTTTGAGTCACCAGCTGTCCTAGCCTCATCTAATCTTACACCTGCCCAGCCACTTCTGGTTAAAAGAACCCAAGTTGAAGAACGTTAGTTGAAGCATGTTCTGAGATCCAGAAAAAGGAAGAATAAAACAGAAGAGGAACGGGAGCAGAGAAACTGTTTGATAAGCTAAAACTCCCTTTGTCAATCATGGTGCTCCCTTTGCAGTTGAGAAACTGAGGCACAGAGCACCGTGCCAGCAAGAGCATCACTAGCCTGGTCTTTAGTCCTT